GTCCAGTAACAAGCTTACCTTCCAGGGCACAATTACCAAACGCAGTGTCGGATTTGTATCAGCAACAATAGATGGCATCCGCTTCTACAGCTGTTATGCACCACCTAGCTTCTCCTTTGTGGAATTCACTGACTTTTTGGACCGACTGACCGAGGACGCTAAGCAACATCATCCAGTTGCGATAGCCGGAGACTTCAACTCCTGGGCAGTTGACTGGGGCAGCAAGTACACAAACGCACGAGAAAAGCATATACTACTAGAAGCTTTTAGTAAACTAGATGTTGTCCTGCTCAATAATGGCGATACGCCGACCTACACCAAAGGCGAAGCAAGCTCGATTATAGACCTCACCTTCGTCAGCACTAGTCTCGTCAGAGGTAACTGTAACTGGAGGGTGATGGATATGTAACAGCCAGCGATCACAATGCAATACTTTGGGAAATATCGTCCAAACAGAATCTGAAAGACCTATCAAGCAAGTTAACAGCGCTGGTTGGAAAACAAAATCTTTTGACCGAGATGCATTGCTAATAGCCCTTGACGTTAACCCGATCAACACTGGATGCGCGGAAGAAGAACCAAAACCCTGATAAAAAGAATGACCCAGGCCTGTGATGCCAGTATGCCCGAAAGGGTGGCATAAATTTAAGACCTGCCGTCTATTGGTGGAATGATAATATCAGCGCTCTTCGTAAAGAATGCCACAGAAAGAGAAGGATATCACAGCGTGGATATAAGCGACCTAACAGCGAGGAACTAATTGCAGAGTACAAAAAATCTCGTCGAGAATTGAATAGGGCCATCAAAGAAAGTAAACAAAGATGCTGGAAAGATCTCATTTGTGAGGTGGACAAGAACGTTTGGGGTAGACCTTATAAGGTGGTCATGAAACTGCTGAAAAAGCAGCAAGTGCAGTCGCCAACGTGTCCTCATTTTCTTCGGAAAGTTGTAAACTGCGTTGTTTCCACAGCAGCGTAGTTTCAGCTACCAGTTGGCATTAAGTACTCTGGATGGCATCCCACCAGTCACTGAAGATGAGTTAATGGAGGCATGTAACCGCATTGGAAATAATAAAGCGCCAGGATTGGATGGTATTCCTAACATTGCACTAAAAACCATCATTAAGGCAGCGCCATCGCTATTTCTAGACGTTTACAACACATGCCTGAAAGAAGGGACTTTTCCCAGAAAGTGGAAGCAACAGCGGCTTGTACTTCTTCCTAAGAAAAATAAGCCGCCAGAAGAGCCTTCATCTTACCGTCCACTCTGCATGTTAGATACGGCTGGTAAGATATTGGAACGAATAATTCATCAAAGAATTGAGGCAGTCGTTGACCCACTTCTGGCGGACAACCAGTATGGATTCCGGAAAGGACGATCAACCCTGGACGCAATAAAGCTAGTTGTCGATACTGCCAAAAAAGCGATCGAAGGAACAAGATGGAAGGGAGGTACAAAAGAGTACTGCCTTGTGGCCACACTAGACATCAGGAACGCTTTCAACTGCGCAAATTGGGACTGCATAATGCAAGCTCTTGTAGAAAAGAATGTACCGGGCTACATATGTAGAATAGTGGCAAGCTATTTTACGAATAGGGTCCTGAAGTATGACACGATGAACGGCCCAAAAGAATATAATATCACCGGAGGTGTTCCTCAAGGCTCAGTTCTTGGACCACTTCTGTGGAATGTTATGTATGACGGGCTTTTGAGATTAAAGATCCCAAGACGCGCCAAACTAGTGGCATACGCGGACGACGTAGCCGTAGTGATTGTTGCGAAACATGTAGACGAAATACGTCATATTTTCGACATTACCTTCGAGAAAGTAAACCGGTGGATGGATACTGTTAGTCTTCAACTAGCTACACAAAAGACGGAAGCAGTACTCATCACCAGCAGAAAAACTATAGAGACTATTAGACTGAAAGTCGGGGAACAAGAGATCATATCACAACCTTACATCCAATACTGGGAGTGATGCTTGACGCCCGACTGAATTTCAAGCAACATGTGAAACGAGTAAGTGACAAAGCATCTGTAGTGAGAACTTGTCTTGCACGATTGATGCCTAACATCGGCGGACCAAAACAGAGCAGAAGACTCACACTTTCATTAGTGGTTGCGTCAGTGCTCACTTATGGAATACCTATTTGGGCAGACGCATTAGAGGTCCAAGAATCATGGAGGAAAGCTGGTCCCGTTTACCGCTTGAGTGCGTTACGAATAGTATGCGGCTTCCGCACATATCTGAGGAAGCGGTATGTGTCATTGCCGGGACTCTGCCTCTTAGAGTCTTAGCTGAGGAAAGAAAAAATCTTTACCAACGCAAGAGGTCAACGACACTAAGCGATGATGATCTGAGAACCCAAGAACGTAAAAACAGCATAAGACGATGGCAATTACAGTGGGACGCCGCCGAAAAGGGTAGATGGACCACCGTCTTATACCTAATATCAACGTTTGGCTGAACAGGAGACATGGAGAAGTCAATTATTATTTAACGCAGATGCTGTCTGGACACGGTTGCTTTCGGGCTTATCTCCACCGATTTAAGCACGATGATTCTCCTGAATGTCCAGCTTGCCAAGGATTTAATGAAGATGCGGAACATGTTTTCTTTGTGTGTCCGCGCTTCAGTGCACAGCGGAATAAACTGGAAAGAATCTTAAAGCAAAGGATTCAACCAGAAACATTGATTGAATCAATGCTTTTATCAGAAGATGCTTGGAACGCCAGTAGTTCGTATGTTACAGAAGTCATCATAACACTACGTTTCATTGAGAGAAAAAGAGCGAATGAAAGATGTATGACATCTTAGCTACAATTAGAAAAAGCTGTTGCTAGATCCTTCCCCGCGAAGTAATGCCTAACGGCGGTTTCCGTGGGGGTTACAAGGCCTGGGGAAAGCGGAGGTTTTAGTCGGTATTAACATCGTTGAGTCCGACATATCCAGACAATTCCACGTCTGTTGAATACGTAAATGTATTTCCTTCGCTATACAAAAAAAAAAAAAAAAAAAAGCTAGTTCAACTTGCCTTTAGACGAAGTGCAACTTAAGCATATTTTCAAGCAAATTTGATATGGGAAAATAACATGCTTTGCTTATAGATCTTAGAATATATAGATATAATAGTACATTAGTACTATTTCTCTACATATGACTAAAATCTATTAGAGAAATAGATATTAGTCATAAGTTATGACTCTACTACTAATATACTAGTACTAGTAGTATTACTAGATAAATGATATAATTCTATATTATGACTCATATTTATCGTTTTATTACTTTTTTATCTATATACTTACTTCATAAAATTTTATCTTTCTACATACAAATTAAATTGTACATATTTTCTCTGTGCACTAAATCTTTAATGTACAATTGTGCAAATATTTCGTTTTTCTCTGATATCTGTTTACACGTGCTTGCAACAATTGCTCCGAAATATGTACATCATTTCCAAAGGTGTGATGTCATTCTATTATTGGAAACTCATAGGACGTGCTGTCTGTAATGAATATTTAAATTAAATTTATTCATTTCAAGTTTCTTGTTAAAGAAGATTATGCAGAAACAATAATACAATTGTTACATGAATATATTTAAACTTAAAATATTAAATATGATTAAGTACTTATACAATACAAAAAAATTAACATAAAGGTGCAAAATTTTGTTCTCAAGTTTTTTTTAATAGTATTTCTTCAAAATGGTAGAATAGTTTGAATTATAGTTCAAAACATTTATGTATATGCAAAAAAATTTCTTACTTCAACTAAAAATAATTGTCTTAAAATCCTTCACGGTATTTAACGAAATGGTAATAAAAGGATGTACATAGTTGCCATTCTTGTTCGTGCATATTTATACACTTTTATTATATATAGTAAACCACGTGAAAACGAATTTTCTGAGACCAAAAACGCGTTTTTATACATCTTTACTTTTCAGAGGTTTCTGAACATTTTGGCATACCTTAGAAAAAATGGATGTATGTGTGTGTGTGCGTTGTGTGTTCGGATACAAATTTTCGTTGACGGGAACACGGCTCAACCGATTTGAATGATTCAAAAAACATTCGATTCCTATTGATAAGAAGACGTGTTGATTAGTTTTTGAACAAGGCTGGTTCAGCCATTTCGTAGATACGGAGCAAAAAATTTCAAAAATGTAATTAAGTTTTTGAGAGAACGGAGCTTCCAATTTTAGTAATTCAAAAGATCTTTTATTTGTATTTAGAAAATGAAGGACTGATTTAATTTTTGGCAAGGTAGTTACAGCAGTTTCGGAGATCGAGTGAAAAAAGTAAAAAAAAATGCCATATGGCAAAAATGATATATGCTCAACAAATTATACCTTTTATAATTCATAGAGATTTTAATAATAAGTACAAATTTTGTTAACATTTTTGTGGGTTGCCTAACATTATTCATCCGTTAGTCTGCGACGTGGCGCTTACGCGCTTCGATATTTCAAATATTAAAAATTAAAAATTAAAAATTTCAAAATATAAAAAAATTTTTTTTCTTCAAAATTTCAAAATTCTCGAAAATATTTTTTTTCAAAGTTTAAAAAAAATGAATCTTTTTTAACAAATTTAATTTTTAGTACGGGAAGGTCCAGCAAATTGCCTTAACGCATGATGTCATACACCACTAGTTAAATATAAAATCATGACCATGACCATATGACCATGATCTATATAAAACAAGTACCTTACGAATTTGAAAAGTCCAAAAGCTTCAATAACTAAATGAATATAAATATAGAGAAATAACAAGAAATTGACATTGGAAATTGTATTACTTATATAATACTAAATTGTTTGTTAGAACAATGAGACCATTAAATAATGAAATTTCTTAATAAAATCCGATCGGAACTAATGTGCAATTATTCCATAAATACATACCATTAGTAATAAATATTAATTCTTGTTATTAAGTTATTTTCTTGAAAATTGTTGATTAATTAATTAAATATCTCTGATTATTATGATACGATTTTCTCTTCTAAAATTAGTAAATCAGATGTTGGTTTGTTAGGAGTTATTGACTCGCCAAGACTTATTTGTTGTTGGGCCATCTGCCAAGTACTTGCTAAAGAAAATTACTGACGTAAAAACGTTTATTTTAGATTGTTTTATAATGGTAATAGTCATAATAGTTATTTCTATTATATACAAACATTTTTAGAGCAATGTCATCAATAATTAGAATATAATTTTTTATAATTCTTAAGTTACAGCTGTCGGTAATAAGTTTAGTACCACCAATAAGTTTAGTTATTTTAATGTTATATTTGATAATATGTTATATTTAATAAATAATAATAATATTTTTCATACATTCTATTATCCGGATTTTCGATTATCCGAATGCCCATCGACAACAATTAGTTTGGTTAATCGAGAGTTTCTACTGTATATATAAATTTGGTCTACAAATTGGTGGAGTAAATTATTTTATAACCTAATATCGTTAAATTATGAAGAAAGTGTACCCGGTGTATACTTGTTATTTAATTATGTTATTCGGCAATTGTTGCCTAACATAACAGATTATAAATTACATATCCTGTTTTTTTTTAAATACTAGAGACCTATGGAACCTAGCATAATTTATGAATCAATTATTTTTCTTATTTCTTATAAGTTATTTTATAAACCAGTTTTGCTGAGTGGATCATCAGTATTTATACTCATCTAAATTGAATTTTAATATTTTTTTTAATATCTATAGTAACTATAGCATAATATTTTATATATTTTTATATTTTTATATTTTTAAATGTGGAGTTAGAACAATCTGCTCGAGACAAATTGTTGTTTTCAATATTGTTCAAATTTGTAAAATATGGCCGATATTTGTAAAAAAATAATATTGAATTTGAAAAAATTAATTAAATTAAAATTAAATATATAAATGACGTCCATTTTGACCCAAAGCTCATGAACGAATTGGTTAGTTTAATTTTGTTTATTATGTTTTTTGTGTTTTATAAATAATTTTTGTCTGGTTTATTTACTAAAAGAGAGTCAAGTGAATCCCCGAAACGTATGGAAGTCTACTATTTTTTTTTAGAAAACTCGTTTCTTTGTGTTGCCTGGATGGGTGCCTACATAAAATGTTTTTTGTTTTTATCTACTTTCTATCGCATTTAATATATTTGTTACATATTAGTAATAGCTATAATTAGTATCAATTTTGCCATATTCATCTAACTATATATAGTGTTTGTTCATAATATGTGACATTAAAATTTTTAAAAAGTGTACCTGAAATAACATCACTTGGAACTTCTCTATATAAAATAAAGTGTATGGAAAACATGCCATGCGGTAACTCATTTATTTGCTTCTATTCATATAAAAAAAACTCACTACAAAAAACCTTTCATTACAATAAATAAATACTTCTTATTAAAATAAATTTTGCAAATCATTCGTATATATCATGTAAACAAATCTAATTAGCATTGCATAATAAGCCGGGCGCGCTTGTTTTGCGCTTTGAATACCAAAACGAAATCAGGAGAACATAATACAAATTTGTAAATATAATTAATATAGTTTATACTTGCCTCTATCAGCTGTTAAATAACATCGCAAAAATGTCAGCTTTCTAATTGGCATTGCAAATAGTGTTTGATTAATAAATTTTGGTATGTAAATAGTCCAAGGTTACGATTGTTAATCAGCGGTTCTATTGGCGGTTTCGAAAATGTGTGGGATGGAAGATAGAAGTATTCTTAATTTTGTAAAATGGGTTTGAATATTTGTATTCAATGGTGTCATTTTAATGACAGCAATATTATCTGAATATATTTAAAGATCCTAATGAATGTACTACTTACGAATAATTTTTTTCCAGCACTAAAACTATTCTCCAACCACTAAAAGTATCTATTACTCTGAATTGCCAATTTCTAATTAAATTTATCTAATATTTTTTATTAAATAATTTATTATTTATTATATATTATTTAGGCACATTAGTGCAATGGATTAAGCCATCAAATATTAAATTCACCATGTTAATAAATACCTGGACAAATGTTGATCTACAGAAATAGAAATTCGCCCTTAATAGAATAATTAATTAACTTTCCATAGAGTAAGTTATTGCACTCGTCCAAAAATCGAAAATGAAAATTTTTGCATATCTTCACGTTTTGAAGGTTTCTGAACATTTTTGGAAAATCTTTATATTCGGCAAAAAATATTTTTTTTTAACGTTAGTTATTGTAATCGTCCAAAAATCGAAATTGAAAATTTTTACATTTCTTCACGTTT